GATCTTAAAGAGTGATTGGGTCACATGACAGGATAAATACATATGGGCCCTGAGAACAGAGCATATGTCTGACTCTGTGTGTGTGTGTGTGTGTGCGTGTCAATGTATGGTTTGGCTATAGGACAGTGGTTGAAATAAGAAAGGTTTGATGTGTGCAGAATAACCATGGCAACCATTATCCATTAGTGTAACAGCTATTCCATTATAATTACTAGTTTTCAGTGCTGTTGAAAAGCAGATCATTTGACTTAATTTCATTCCAGGTATTTGACTTGGCGTTTAAATGGCCATGAAATATAATTTTACCAGGGAGTGAAATAGTGGTATCAAGCTGTCTTGAACCACATTTCTTTAAGGAAACTTCATAGCTCTTCTGCTCTTCTTCATCATCGAGATATTTTTGTCTGCTCAGCTGAAATTAAGTTTTCCTAAAATCCTCATTTTCCCTCTCTCCTGCCATTCCTCCACCCTGCTATACTTTTCACTGTACCTCCACTCCTCCCCTCTTTCCATCCCATTCTATTATTGCCTTCCCATCCTCCCCGTTTTCCATACTGGCCTTTTTGGGTCTCACAACCCAGTCGCTTTTCTTCATAGAGCCTGGAAAGGCGCTTGAGCAGTGAATAATTCTGAACATGATAAATCCCACCTTAAATCCAGCCATGAGACTCCAACAGGGTTCCACATGTAATTCTAAGCCCTATTATAGGGCCACTAATGCCGGTTGAGGATGGCGAATCACGGCACAGCCTGCAGCCATGTAAGAATTAGAAATAAATATGCATCGGTACCAGATAAATATAGCAAGCGGCAAATCTGCCGTGAGACTGTGTGTGTGTGTGAGAGAGAGAAGCCACAATTTGCAGGCGATGAGACGAATTCGCAACAGCTCTCTGGGTAATTGATGGATTAAATTCGGTGGCTAAGGGGTTGGAGTTAATGTGTGCCATAATTTAGGAAAAAGAAAGCTCAATAAAATTTTTTGGTCCTTATTCAAGGAAATGTGTTTTGCTGTCATGTTTGAACACCTCATTTCAGGGCTTGTATTAGGTGTCTCAAGGGTGGCAGTTGAGGTCTCTATCGCTGGTGTTTATCTATCTGTCTAAATGAAGGGTGTAAGCTAGCCTGGGTAGAGCTCCGGATTTTTTTTTTGTGCATACGGCCCCTTTGAAGTCATAAGAATAAGTTTAATATTATTTTATTGAGTCCCGACCAGACAAATTCTTTATGCCCGTTTCCTAGAGTTGCACTAGCTGCTTATAACTGTGGTCCAGGAGCTGATCTCCTCTCACTTTAAGGCAAATAGCAGAGTTACTCAAATTCACTCCATTCCCTGTAAATCAGGTAGCCAGCCAATCAGAATGCAGGATTAGGAAAGTAGATTCATGATTGAACCCAGTGCTCGTTCAGTCTACTGCCATAATTTACATGGCTTACATGCCATTGTCTGCCTGTTTCACACACTTGATGATAGCGTCTTCACAATCTTACTCACATTTAGCATTTTCAAGGATAGAAAATGGGCTAAAATGGGATTTACAAGACATGTAAAACTGTAAATCAGATGTTTATGCAAGACAAGATATCTGCATGCCATATCATTTAACACCTAACACCTTGGACTGTTTAGCAGTCAATACATGGCAGTGATATGTATTATTCAATGTTTTTAGCCATATGTTTTTTCCATCATGTGTTTATGTGCACTGATGTTTTATTTACAAGACCAAACATCAATAAATTCTGTCATATGCTAAAGTGGCATAAACACAGGCACAGTCTGCTGTACACAAAGTTCCATGGTATTTTCATGTTTGAATACCTTTATTGCCAACACCCACAATCCTCGTTGGTCAGTTGCTATTCTCTACAGGTGCACTTTTCTCTCTTATTCCAATCCATCCACAACAATTCTCATAAATCCAATCTGAAGTTTTTGAGATAACCTACATACAGAAGAAAATAGACGGAAAGGGTTTATCATCTCTGCTAACCCTGTTAGGAGAGATAATAAAAAATATAATCAGGTATAACACACAGACAGCTCAACTTGCACTGTAAGGTCTCAGATCTCAGACGTTTCATGATATGTCTATTTGCAGCCATTCTCCCTTGTATAAACTTGTGCCTTTTTATAAAGCAATGCAGGTTTTACTCGTATGTGATTGTTTCAACTTCTTCCCTTCAATAAAACACTAACTGTAAGAAGTCGATACATCAAATCGAGGTCAAAGTTGGTTACTATAAAAATTAAACTTTTTTTTTTATTAGAGAAAGGTGTATAGAAAAAAATGTAATGAGACATAAAGACAAAAAGAGCTTTATTGATAGCCATCCTGTTGCTTTCATATCAGTGATCATACCTCTCCAGCGTAACTCCCTGTAGACTTATCACTTGTTGCAGTTAGTTAACCTGCGGGTGCTTATTAACCCCTGCTGGGTGCCATCACCACCATGGCAGTTACATTCTAATTAAGTATTTTGTTGTAATAGAGACCTCAGTTTAAACTTCAGTCGTCTTATTAGATCATTCCCCCCTCTGTGTTTTGACATGAAGAGTGGATGCTGCTGTTTTTTTATCTGAAGGCATACGCTAGTTTTTGTTCTCTTACAGTGGAGTGTGGCAGTATGACATGGTATTTGAAAAGTCCCGGTTTTGTTGACTTATTAATTTCTTGTGTCTTTCTAACTGAGTAGTGTGGAGATGACACGGCATGCTGGGATATTCTCTTTAGATGGTGATAGTGGTAGCGGTGGAGGGTGGGTGGTAGTGGGTGGAGGGCTTCTTCTTCACTCCTTCTCTCTCTCTCCTCCTTCGCACTCCTCCCTCAGCTCATCAGTTCATCAGGCTTCTCCGTGGAACACTTAGCCCTGAGGAGAAGCCGTGGGTGGGGGTCTGTAACTTTTGATGAATGAATACATCTCTGACTCACTCCTCTTTTATCTGACTGTTTAATCTTGACTCTCTCTTTCTATTTCTTTCTCCGTCTCTCGTCTGCTCCCTCTCTGAACCTCTTTCTCTCTCTTTCTGGCCTATGCTCCTCGCTCAAGACAGTGGTTGCTGATTTAATTGGATTGTGCTGAACTCTGGCTCTCTGTTGCATCTCTTATGATCATCTCAGAGACTCTTTGACTCAGACTTCCTGTGAAGTTTGGCTCTGTAACATTGTATGAACTTTGATTTCTGTCAGAAAAGCATCTCTACTCCAGGTTTTTTTTTTTAAGGTATACTGTGTAGATGAGTTTATCAATTATCTGTAAAGTTTTCTGTTACACAAATCAGAAGTGGGTTAGAGTGTAGGCAGTCTTGAACATAAAATCAAGACATCTGATATGAATGTGTTAAAATCATAACCAGACTTTACCTCAGGTTCAGGGTCTACAGAGCCTACCAAGACTTAGTCATCCAGAGACAAACAGGCTGCCTCTTGGATCCTCTACCCACACAGGGCTCACATCCTTGGGCTTGCCCAGATGCCTCCCTCCATACCCTCTCGCCTCTCCTCTCCCCTCCCCTCTGCTCTCCTTTCCCCAACCTCCCTGAGCTCGATTGAGGGAGATGATTAAGACATCAAAAGCCGTGCCTCACTGTAGATCAAAACTCTGGGCTGACGGGTGAGAGCCTGATCCCACATAGACTTCCGCTGCATCCCCACAGCCGGAGATTTGCCATTCCCAGCAGCTCTCCTGCTCCACTCCATTAGTATCTCCATGCCAATCGGAGGCTCCCCGGGGTTCGACATGTAGCCTAGGATGAGTCAGGGCTGTGCAATCAACCCCATCCATGGAGAGGCAGGTGCTTTCAGATGGTGAGACACAGTGGTGTGTATGTGTGTGTGTGGGCATCTGTGTGTGTTTGTGTGTGCATGTGTTTATCATAGCTCAAGGCCTTTATTCACCCCCACTGTTTTATCATCCCCAACACTGAACAGCAGCAGCCCATCACACTGCCTCTATCTCCTTTTCTCTCCTTTCTCTTTCTCTTTCACTCTCACTCTCTCCCTCGAGGGGCTTTAGTTCATGTGATTCCACGCTCCAGCTTTAGCTCAACTTTGCCACTTGGCAGTCTCGGAAGATTTTTTCTGCTTGTCTCTCGTTTTACTCCTGCTGTTAAAGTGGTGATAAAGAGAACAGAAAATACATACAGGATCACGAGGAGAGACTTTTCCCTGCTTGTAAAATGAAGTGCTTCATGTTCCATCTGAGCAACGTCAGTGGAAAAGGGTGAAAGCCAGTCAGAGTTGGTGAGGACAAATTGCAGAAAAAAATTAATAAATATGGTTCCCATCCAGGCATGGAAATAATAGGAGGAAATAATTGGAGTCTTTCTAGCCAAGGGGGCTTAATAATAATAATCTAAATACAAAAAAGGAGGTTTATGAAATGTTTTGGTATTTGTTTTTAGCAACATAGAGATAAAGCTGAGCTGAGAACGCACCACGCAGATAGTGTTATTATTTCCCTGTAACCTGGCTATTCTAGGACATTTTTTCCGTGGTCACTGTAATTTGGTGCTGATGTCATGGTTACTACAGGCAGCAGCACAATCATTAATGTTTCTGGAAACCCAACCTATGAATAGTCTCTATCCCTGAGAGACACAGAAGAATGTGCACCACACAAACACTCATATACAAACAGTCAAACACACACAGAGACACGATGCAGGCATGAATTCACAAATGACGATGTCGGAATCATCAGTAATTAATCTCCACTTATCAGCTCATCGAGGTCTGTGCCACTCTTCACATCAGTGGTAGAGTTACAGTCATCTGAGCAGCCACTTGGTCATTCAGTTTTAGCCAGTCAACCAGTGAGTCAGGCCCTGGGGCTAAGCTCATTAAGGCAGGAGAGTCCCCTACTATCTGTCCCTCCTGCTGTGCACCTAAGGGCCAGCCCCCTCCCTGTCAACTCCCCGCCTTTAATTGAGTTCTCACTTCTCTTTATTTTACTGTCAGCATTATACCCCTCTCATTGTTATTCCCCTCTCCATCCCCTTTCTTGAGCCATCTCCTCCCTTTCCTTTACTGCTGCTACCACCAACACTTTTTTTTTGGTATTTCAGAGAGTAAGCACTTTCTCCATATTAAGATGTGAAATTCATTTTGACACTGGGCTGGAAATAGAGTGGAACCGGCAATATGCCCCTATCTGTTCCTCTCTCTCTTCTCCCTCCCTCTTCTCCTCTCCCTGTCTCTATCTTCCTCTCTCTCTTTTCCCCACTCCATACTATGTTTTTTTCTCCTTCAATCCATGGATCCACTCTCCCACCTCAGTTCCTTATATCACCTAGAGACTATCCTGTGAGGTAAGGGTTTGCTTGCCCCAAATTATATTTTTATATATTTTTATAAGGATGACATAGAAAAAAGGACCCTTGCACCTCTTTCTCAGGATTTGGTTCTATTAAGAGAGCATGAAAAATCAAATAAGGGATTCAGAGAAAAAAAAGGACAGATTAAGAAACAATGAGAGCCAAAGAGAACAAAGTATGCAGTAAGAAATAAATGAAAGCTAAAGATGACAAGAGTTAATATACAGAGAGAATCAGTGATGTCAGCTGTGTACAGCTCGGCTATGCAGCTCAAGTCTTGTATAATGTTTCGGTTAATCTGCTGATAATGTGACCTGATGTACCAATAGAGGGATGAGATGCAGTCGATTGCATGAAAATCATTGTATGAATAACCATATCCCTGAGCCAGCAAGTGTCCACAACTGCTGCACTTAAAGTGTAACAGGGGTAGCAGAGACATGAAGATGATTAGACTGACTGTTACATCTGGCCACTAGCCCAGAGCTAATTCACATAGTTGAATAACTGTGTGACCGCATGGCTGGATTGCCTAGACTGACACACTCTCCCTGAGATGATATGATGCAACCGGATAAAGAGCAGAGCGAAGCAGTGTGAATACGCCTAAATGCACTTTAGCCAAGCGGTGGCTTTTCTTACATGATTTTTCATCATGGCTAAATGTTTGTTTTCCCCTCAGGGACATTAGCGTCAAGGGACCATAACTATAGTCATGTTACCGAGGTGGATTTGAGCCTTTAGGGGTGTCTTCGCCTTAAAATCACCCCTGTACACACAACAGATATACAGTAAATGCACATGCATGCATATGCAGGCATGTGGTATATACAAGATGCAATGGTGCGTACAAATGCAAGCATACACATATGCTTGAATGGACACAGAGGATGCACATTCATCCCCTACCCTGCATATATATATATATATATATATATATTACATTTCTGGATTCATATACATGAACGTGTTCGATTGTAAAACATTGTAAATGGCCATGAATGTGCAGTTTTGTTATCATAAACATGTATCCATGTGATATGCAGGCTAAAGGGGCACTGACATGTATTGGTTTTTGGGTGTGATTTGTACAGTCTTGTTTGTTTCTGCTGTTTATGTCTTTTTCTCTTTGCAGCCCAATAATGTGTTAGAGCAGCAGTATTCCTCTGTATATCCAACTCACTGTCTTATAGCAAATGTCATTAAGGCTCCTGACACACTCACACTCACACAAACTGATAAGGTCTAATGAGAAAGTCTGTCTGACATTGCTGAATAAGGAAAAGTACACTGCTCAGAAACAAGTTTGGTTCACCTCTGGATGAGCATGAACTGCACAGACATACACATACTGTATGTAACCCCCCTGCCAAAATGTTTTCATACATGTAATAACTGATACAAATAGATACAATCACACATAAACTTTTTTTCTCACACACACACACACACACATTTTCACACACTCACACACGCACATATAAGACGAAAAACATAACAAATGTGTCCGGGCACATGCATAATCCACACAAACACACCATTCCCACACAAACATCAAACAGTGAAAAACACACAACCCACGCACTCACAAACACACACGGTCACACACAAATAACACCCACACACACACCAAAAAGCCACACACAAACACTTACACGCAGAGTCTTCGTGCTCACCAAGGCGGTTGGTTTGTCAGGGGGGTTAGAATTTGCATGGCTGGGCAAATTTTCCTTGTGCTAAACTCTAATCAGCTCCTGTATCTCTCAGACACCTGCCCAGCAAAAAAAACCTTAATATGCAAAACACCTTCCCTCCCTCCTCCAGTACTGCAGCTCCTCGGCCAACAGAAGACTTATTCACCTGGCCTCTCTCACTCTTTTCCTCTCTGTCTGTCTTCTTGCAAATTTTCACATTTATGTATGCAAATAAGCTGTTCCCCTTAAGCCTGTTTCAACAGTAGCTTCCTGGTGCCAGGAGAAGAATGATAGTTCTGTCTGAGATATGACCTCGGAAAGAAGGGGGTTTGTCAGGGGGGAAGGTGGCAAGTCGAACATTTTCATTGGGTGCCGCGCGCAAACTCCCTTCCTAGAAGTTGTTCTGTCCATTGTTTGTGAAGTGATCTGAGTCACACACACATCTAAGAATCATTTGGATCCATTTCATTTCTTTACAGTGAAATACTGTGTCTTTCAAAGGTAGCACTGACTTATTTTTAAAGCACAAACACACACTGTCAAACCTACGCTGAATGAAAGTCCCCCTCTGCTCAAAAATGTGTTTTGCATATTGTTTCTTCACTTCGGTGTTTGTGACATCACAACTTCTCTGGAAGCCAAATGTGTTTTAATATGCGACTGACACAAGTGTGATGTGGAAACTCGCACATACACCGAGGATGAACGTTTGAGTGTTGTATCGGAAATCTTGCGTCCAGCAGTGAAGCTTTTGAAATGAACAATTTCTGCATATTAATAGATTGTGTATTATTCAATGAGAAGGAATAGATGTACATTTATAAATGTTTAACTAAGTAAGGGGATCTTTAACTTGTGTTCTGACAAACAGCACAGGCCCTAAAACAAGGACATATATTTAAAAATCAGGTTTTTATGAAACTGTGTCTTTTTTGGGGGGATATTATTTCTCATCTGGGACTTCCATTTCCTGTTGTGGGTGTCAGGTGATTTACCATAAGCAGAGCATAATTTGATATGAAAACAGAAACATTGAATCCTCATTCCAGGATCAGGAAAAATGAAACCTGAATGATTAGAACAAACTCAAAAAAATACTGGTATTATCCTTTAACATTGTTCTCCTTACTGTTCTCGCTTTAACATATTGGTGGTGTAAAAATCTAAACTTTGCCGCGCGCATTTAAGGTCACGCCATCTTCTTGATTTAGACTTCCAGTCGCTAAACAAATCATTCCAGCACCAGTCATGAGCAGCTGAACAGGAAGAATCGTGTCATTTTTCTTTGTGCTTTGCTCTGATGGACTTTGGGCTTATTGAGACCTCATATATACAAGTGCTTCTGCCTGCCAGAGTCTTTCAAAGCCTCCCTTAAGAGGGCAGAAGATGGATGTGGGGAAGTGTGTGTGTGAATGTGTGTGTGTGTGTGTGTGTGTGTTTGGGTGCACACAGAGGAGCCCCAGTGGACAAATAACGGACAGAGAGAGATAGACGTAAACAGAGAGAAAGAGAGTGAAGCACTTTAAATGTGAGCGCTGCAAAACTCCCACTGCTCGCAAGGGCACTTCTCTCCTGCACGTCATCTCTCTTTTCCCCCCTCTCTCCTTCTACCCTTCTTTCTCCCCTTTCCATTCCCCTCGATTCCCTTTCTCCTTCCCTCCCTTCATCGCTCTCTCCTTTGTCTCCGAGCTCTCACCCTCTATCCCCTATCTATCCATCTCCCTCTTCCCCCTCTCCCCCTCTTTCTCTCCCCTTCCTCTCACTAAAACAGTAGGACGCTTAACCTTGATAACAGTGAGATTTTTTCCCCCCTCAAAGTGACACACACACACACACA